TGTGTGCATTAATGTGTGATTAAATCTATTTTGGTGGTCATGTAGGATGAGCAGAACGAGGTGACTGTGAAACATGTTGAAGTGTTGAAGAATGAAGATGTCAAGGGCATTGAAGAAATCGATCCAAGAGCAAATGAAGATTGTTTAAATCAAGTGAACTCCCAGATTGTGATAAGATGAACATTGCATAGTATGTGAACCGTATAGGTAATGGGATTCATAGTTATTAAAAACTTTTTTTTGTTGCACCAGCTATACACAGGGAAGACTTCTCTGTTGGCTGTTGGTGAAAGTCCAAAACAACAATCAAAATTGCCAGACAAATTCACCTTTTCTGGCCCAGACATAATATTTCATATGAATTAGCACTGAATCTTTTGCCACAGTTTAGCTCTGGCCCACGAAAAGCGAACAGGAGGAGGAAAGAAGAAAAAGAAAAGGAGGAAAATATAGGTGATGATGTAGGGCAGGCAATAGCAGGGCCATTAACTCTCGATCCTTCAGAAATGCCACCTGCAAATTTGCTTCAAAAACATCTGAATTCATGCATGATGGACTGCTAAAAAGCTACAAAAACATAATCTCAGGAAATACAAAGCAGACTATGAGCATTTAAAGATCACGGGCATGGTACGAGGATGCGGGGATGCAAGCATTGATAGCAAGACGTGGTACTATTCACTGTATTTCCCAGGAAATTGGTTGAGTGACGTGGTAAGTTAATATTAGTTAAACTAAAATTAATATCATGATTCGGGATGAAATACTTCGTATTAGTTTATTATTACTTTACATTATTTAGGTAATTAATAAATGCTAAAGGGTGCTTATTTATTTTTTGAAGCATGTGGAGGTGGGGATGTATTTCCTAAGGATGAAAACTGAACAATACAAGTTAACTCAGAATTTCACGACAGCAAACCCCATGTTTATGCATTTGGTGAGACAACATTACGATCAACACATTAGGATTGAAATAAAAGTGGCAGATATCGCTTTAAACAGGAATATAATGGGTATCATTAGGGGTGGGCACGGTCCGGAACGGTCCGGTAAACTAGTAAAACCCATAATGTATCCGTTAAGTTTTTAACGGTCCGGTACGGTCCGGTTTCAAGGATGGAACGGTTCGGTACCATACCGTTTCGGAACGGTACAAAACGATACGGTATAATGACAAACGCATGCTAAAAATTTTGAACAAATCTTGCAACTAGTAGATATCTTCACACCAACGCACATGAAATGTTGATATAAATATAAGAAATTGCATATGTAGTACTAAAGTTCACAAATATACAAATAGTGCAACACAACTAAGAAAAAGTATAGCAAAATGATGACGCATGAGATAAATATCATCTTTAATTTACTAAGTTCATGTGAAAATATAAAAAAGAATACCGTCAAATTGTTGAATACTCCGTATAATAGAAATCTTCAATGTTCATCTTCGTTCTAGGTTAAATATTTCTCCGTAGTTGTAATTTAATTTATAGTTGAAACTTGAGAGCTAAGATTTAAACCATATTAGTTAAGTTGTAAAATTGTGCAAACATGACATTACAAAAAGTCATGTACACTACATTACTAGAAATGATCAAATGAATAGTCCTTAATGATTTCTAAAATTTTAATATTCTTTCAATACATATCAAAATATAACATAAATTATCTAAAAAGAAAAAATAACAATATATATCATATAATATAAACACACACATTTAGCTAGTTTAGGAACACATGAATACATTCTTGGGCAATAAAATTGTTTGTCTATAAAAGAGATCTATTGGTATAGAAGTTAAGAAAATAACTCACAACTTTAATAATCAACAAGCTTCAAGAGCAACGCCAAGAAATGGAAGTTTAGCTCCTCATTTGGAGACTAAACATGCTATACAAATATAAGAAATAACTATTCTAAACTGAGCTTAAGTATATGGAAGAAGGGATGATTTTTTTGTGAAGGAAAAGGGGTGTATTTATAGGTGTTTGGAGGTGGCAGGGTTGTGTACCCGATCGGGTATATAGGGTACCCGATCGGGTATTTTAGGCAGTTTCCCGGAAAATCACTTTTCTAGACATACCCGGTCGAGTATGTAGGCATACCCGGTTGGGTATGAGCCAAATCTTCAAAATCCTGCCCATTTTTTTTGTCTCTCCAGATTCTGATTTTGACACCCGAATCAACTCAATACCCGATCGGGTATTGCTTATACCCGACCGAGTATATGAAATATTTTCTCAATCTTCTTTTTATCTTGTCCCATTGCACCTTCCTTGATCTTTTGGAGTCCAATCTTGATCCTTTGGATGATCTTGACCTGTTTTAAGCTCAGAATAATCCTAATCTAAACAAATTACATTTATATAGGAAAATAAACTAATTACACCAAAAGTGTGTAATTTTCCAAATAACAACAAATAAAACTAGTTAAAATAGAAATAATACATAATAAAAATACAACTCTATCAACTCCCCCATGATTAGTTTCTTTACTCGTCCTCGAGTAAAGTCAATGTTTCATCAACACTTCAAACAATCATGAACAAGCAAAAGACAACCAAGTAATGTTTAAAATGTGTTTTACAAAGTGAAATGATTCCACTTATATGCACTACACACTTCATGATATTGGGTTTACTTGTCTTCTATGCTTTCCATGTTCCTCTTCATAATTGTATCACCACATCCCTTGCATGGGTTGCCTCCCAAGAAGCGCCTCGTTTAACGTCGCGGCACAACGCCATCATTATATGGAGTATTACATTTTATTAATAATTCATATTTATACTAGCTGAAATTAATTTCTATCCGTGATGATTATATGGACATATGTACATATGGAGTATTAAAACTATATGGATTATAATACATACTTCGTATGTACCAGCTGAAAGTTTTCTACCCGTCTATAAAATCAACCACTTTATTAATAATCGTGCCAAATTGAAAGTGGATAACCAATATGGGACAGAGGTAATGCATAGTATTGTGTCTCAGTTTGATTTGATTCGGTTTGGATTTGTGATTTTTTAAAATTATACTTCGTAAATTTTATTCAATATTTTAGTTCGGTTCAATTTTATTCCGTTTTTTATGAATATATTAAGAATTTAGTGAAAATTCCTTACACATCACTGGTGATATCATGTTCCTTAATGAGATACCTTGAGTTGATCCAATCTATCCAGCACAAGTTTTAAGAATAAATATACATCCTTATTCGTGCATTTGATTTTGTTCAAGTGACCGGTCATGCTAATTTATGAAAAAAACTACATTCAAAATATATTTTATTAATAAAATATAGAAAAATAGTAATTTGAAAAAATAACTAAAATGATCATCTACAGTAACTTCAACCAATTCAATCAAAAAGTAACTTCAACCTCAATTTTTCTTATTTTTACACAATTTAGCGCGCACAATTAAAATTTACGTGTTTGGTGAAAAAATTGACTAATAAGTTTGATAAAACGAAAAATAGAACCACCAAACGAGAACTTAGTCCTTAATAAGTCAATTAGCAAATTATTCTCTATTAGTAAAAATCAAATTTGAAAATTTACAATGAGAAAAATGTAAAAAGATTTTTAAAAAATAATTCATTAATATATTAATAAAAAAACGTAATCAAAGTAGAGTATGTGAATAGTGTAAAAGTTGACATGGTGCACTTATCTGTTCTGATTTCATGACCAAAATATTCTAGATTTATTTATTTAATAGATCACTAGCTGAAATTAAAAAAAAACAAAGAGACTATTCAGAATTTAATTTGTTATAAATGATCATAAAAATAAAGTTTTTTGCACAATTTCAGGGGCTTTTTTGCCCTTTTCTCCCTATTTGACTATTTGTAATGATCAAAGTCAAAGTGTGTGGTTCAGATAGAAGTTCTGCTAACACGAGATTAGGGCTGGGACCGGTTCGGTTCTTACTGAAAATGAGTGGAACCGTTATAAAAATTTTAACTAATGAAATCGGTTCGGTTCCTATATAAAAAATCAAGAACCGTTATGGAACCGAACCGGTAGTAAACGGTTCGGTTCTTCCTTTTACCGGTTTCTAGATAATTTTTTTCTCGTCTAAGAATTAACACATAATTTTAAACACGTCGAAAACTCAAAACACGAGTATTAAAATTTTATTTGAAGCTCTAATCACTTCAAACATCAAAGCTCAAACTTAACTAATGAACTTTGAACACTTAATAGAACAAAAGTGATTTAAATTTTCATGTAATAAATCAAACATTAAAAATCGTTGTAGTGTCGGAGCGATGAAGGTTACTCGTCATCATAGTAGCAAGAATAGGATGCCTTCTTCAAGTCTTTCAAAACGTAAAAAAAAGACATTGAGTTTGCATGTATAGATATAAAAAAACATCATTGCATTCTACTGATTCATAATAAATCTAATAATTAGAAATATCATGAAAATAGTAAAGTAAAATATGTGCAATCAACTACAAGTTATTTGGGTTATTTTATATTTATAAAATTTATGTGAAGGAACAAAACTTGATATGTAGAAAGGAGTTTAATGTATTATATCAACCTCATGTACAATATTTATTACTTCTTTTCCGTTGATTAAATTAGAATTGTTAGTTAAATATCTTATATTGTTTTATTATTGTTGTTGTTGTGGTGGTTATTATTGCTATTATATTATTATTATTATTATTATTATTATTATTATTATTATTATTGTTATTATTATTATTATTATTATTATTATTATTATTGTTATTACTACTAATAATTTTTTTTAATAACGGTTCCTTAACGGTTCCATGCACATATTTTTTATAGGAACCGGGAACCGAACCGTTATAACCCGTTTCGGTTCGGTTCCTACAAATGAGGCATTAATTGTTAATGGTTCGGTTCCTAGATGTTGTTAACGGTTCGGTTCCAATCGGTTCTACGGTTCCCGGTTCCAAAATCCCACCCCTACACGAGACGGTGACAATCTAGGCTATGGAGATGCTTGGAGTCCATTGTAAATTGTCCAGCTAGGTGATAACATACTCGTTTGGCCGGACTCCTTGCCTGGAAATTCGTCAAAACTAATTGAAGAAGTGGCAGGTAAGGAAATTGTCACTCTCTGGTGAACTGAGCAATGGAGAGTGTGCTGCGAAACACACTGTGCCTACTCATCCTGCTCTTCCTCTCATGGCAGACATCTTACTCTCTTCCACGATCTTCCATGGTCGCCCCTAGCTTTCTCAACAGATTCCTGCGCGTTCCCTCCAAGACCATCTCCGCCCCGAAGTATAAGTACCAAATCCGCTACTTCCAGCAGCGGCTCGATCACTTCAGCTTCGCAGATCTCCCCTCGTTTAGTCAGCGTTACCTCATCAATACCGATCACTGGTCTGGTCCCTCTCGCCTTGGCCCAATCTTCTTCTACTGCGGCAATGAAGGAGACATCGAATGGTTTGCCGCAAACACAGGTTTCGTCTGGGAGCTCGCACCTCGCTTCGGCGCCATGGTTATCTTCCCCGAAGTAATTTCCATATTAATCTCATTCAGTCATTCCCATACGGTTTCCAGTTTATGGTATTTAATTACTTCGTTCACCATATGAGCAGAAGTTAGTATAATTACTTTTATTAGGGTTTTAATATTGAAACTGGCAGCATCGCTACTACGGTGAGTCAATGCCTTTTGGAAGTAGGGAAGTGGCCTATAAGAACGCGACCACATTGGCATATTTGACATCAGAGCAGGCATTAGCAGATTTTGCAGTGTTAATCACTGAACTCAAGCAGAACACATCTGCGCAATCATGCCCTGTCATTTTATTTGGAGGATCATATGGTGGAAGTAAGACCAGTTCCTTCCCTCTCTTTATTTTTCACCTTTTTGCTTGCTTGATATGATATGCTTATCTTGTGTATGACTGCAGTGCTTGCAGCATGGATGAGGCTTAAATATCCTCACATTTCCATTGGCGCACTTGCTGCTTCTGCCCCAATACTTCAGTTTGAGAATATTGTCCCGCTCGATACATTTTACAACATCGTCTCCAATGATTTTAGAGTGTGTTGATCCACTACTTTTTTTTCTTTTTTGTCACACTTGGATGCGATTAAATATTTCTTCAAATCATAGTTTTGCTCGGTTGGCAGCGTGAGAGTGTCAGCTGCTTCAACACTATCAGAGAGTCATGGGATGTAATAAGTTCTGTAGGAATGACAAAGAGCGGACTTTCACTGCTCACCAAGACTTTCCATCTTTGTGGGTTAGTATAAATAAATAACACCGGTTGTTTCATTTCATATAAACTTTTCCGTTCGACACTTGTTTGAGACTTTTTTGTTCTCTCTCTTTTGATGTGCAATTTCTATAATGGAAGAGAACTTAAGAGTGCTGAAGACCTTTCTGACTGGCTGGATTCTGCCTATAGTTATTTGGCAATGGCTGATTACCCATACCCTGCAGATTTTGTAATGCCCTTACCTGGCAATCCAATAAAAGAGGTTTATCTGCCTATTCACCAATTTTTATCCTGCAAATATTTTACAACTGCATCTTCATTTGTCATGATTTCATTTTATCAGGTTTGTAAGAAAATTGACAGCTCACCCAATGGCACAGATATTCTGCAGCGAATATTTGAAGGAGTTAGTGTCTATTATAACCACACCGGAAAGGATAAATGTTTCAATATTGATGATGATCCTCACGGTATGAGTGGCTGGGACTGGCAGGTGCACTGATGCTACACTATAAATATTACTCTTATTTGTTCATTTTAAATGCATCTTGTTCTAAAATGAGTTTTCTGATCAGAATAATTTACAATTTTGCCTAAAAAACAATGTTTATTGTTGTTTATATTTTATATATGTACATACAGGCATGCACTGAGATGATTATGCCAATGTCGAGTAATAGAAATACAAGTATGTTTCCAGCATTCGAGTATGATTACGTCTCTGATGCAGAGTATTGCTATAGGAATTACCATGTCATTCCCAGGCCTACATGGATAACAACTGAATTTGGTGGACATGTATGTATGGCTCTCTATTTAACAACTCTAGACTTAAATAGAAAGTATTACCTCCTTCCCATTAGACACTGCTAACTTCGTGTGGGTGTGAAACAAGAAAATTTAAAAATGTTTGGTTCAGATTTGTACAGAGGAGAGATAAATAAGTTGAACCACAAATTCATTACTTTAAAAAGGAAGTAGCCAAGTTTTTGTGACAAGCAAAAAAGGAAAGTTGCAAAAGTTAAGCGAGGCATTTAAGTTCATTGACATTCTTGTGATCTTGGGAAATATCTTTCCATTATTGTAAAATTGTTTCCGGAATCCTAATAACAATTCAGATCTGATTATCTGGATTCTGGACAGGTCCTTTGTGTCTCCCATTAAAGTTACTATTGACACAGTTCAATATTATGGTTTACATGGGGTATTCTCCGTATATAAACCTTAGTACTACTATAGGGTGGGTCTTCTTGGAGGAAATAATTGCATCTCAATTATTAAAACCGAAAGGGTAAATTTGCAAAAGTTGAAAGATATATCCCTGGTTACGCATTGCCAAACACCTTGTGGATTAAAAGTGTGAATATCCCTATTCATAATTAATCCGTGACTTTGATTTTGAAATTGCTACTGCCCTTTCTTTATCATTAAAACATGGTTGATTTTTTGTTAGAACTTTTATTGTGGGTCAAGTTTGTCTGTAATGTCTTGTTTAAATAAAGTAGACTAGTTATACCATTTATGGTATTAGATTAGTATTTATTATGTAGCAAATAAGGTAAAGGGAATAAGGCCCAAAAAAGGCCTTGGCCCAACTTCCAAGGTTTACCTAAATCGGTAACCTGTACAGCGCCTATAAATACGCGCCTTGTGTACAGGTACCGATATCGATCAATACACATTAGCCTTACGCTGCCAAATTTACTTCTCGATACTACAGAAAGAAGGTTTCACTGTTCTCGATAAATCTTATATCATTATATGAAATCCTTCTCTTCTGTCTATCGATGATGTTCATCTAGCTGATCGTTAGTCTACTAAACTGGGACCAACAACTGGTATCAGAGCCTGCTCGAGTGTGATCGTCGAAGAAAAGTTTTCGAAGTTTCTCTGTTTTCATACTTTTCGATATATTTCTTTGTAATCACTGTAATCTTGTTTCTGATCGATAAACTGTAAAAGTTATATCATTGGATTCGCCATTCAGAAACGAACCAAGGGCTCAATCAGCAAAGATGGAAGCATTAGCACTTGGAAATGACAACAGACCACCCATCCTCAGAAAAGGAGAATATCAGATGTGGAAGACAAGATTCTTGAACTTTCTGGAAGGGAAAGACAATTCATCTGCCATGCTTGAATCACTCACACAAGGTCCTGCTGAGATCTATACTGATGTAGATACCTCAGATGTAAACAACCCCCCTCTCAACTATGTGAAAAGATTGAAGACAAAAGGCGAATACACTGAGGCTGACAGGTTGAGAATCAAAGCTGATCTCATGGCAAAAACTTACCTGCTGCAAGCTATTCCCAATGATATCTACATTCTGATAGACAGCATGGAGACAGCAAAGGAAATGTGGGATGAGGTGAAGAAGTTAATGATTGGAACTGATCTTGGCTTGAAGACAAAGAAAGCGAACATCTTGACCGCCTATGATGCTTTTAAAGCCCTACCTGGTGAGGCGCTCCATGAGACGTATAACAGATTCGTACAACTGATCAATGAGATGAGAAAGATCAAAGTTGTCAAATCTAACATGGAAATGAACATACGTTTCTTGTCGAGCCTGCCGCCAGAATGGAGAAGAACTGTTAAGAATCTACGACAGCACCTAGACTTGGATGAACTTGACCTCTGCACTGTCCATGAACATCTACATCAGTTTGTTAATGACACTGCTGAGATGGAAGGAAGCTTCTCCGCTAATCCTTTAGCACTGATGATTGAAGCTAAATCAAAGAGTTCATCTAAGGGTCCGAAGAAGAAGAAGGCAGTCAAGATAGAGTCAGAAGAAGAAGAGAGTGAAGAAGAAATGGATGTTGAATCCGAGCTGGCCGATCTACAGAAGAAGATGGCACTACTTACCAATCAGTTCAACAAAAGGTTTGCCAAGAAAGGAAGCTCATCAAACAAGCTCCGAACCTCCTCAGCCAACTACAAAACAAAAACCAATGATCAAAACTCTTCTAGTAGAGTTGTTGCAGCCGAAGACCCCCTCAAATGCTTTAACTGTGGAAAAGCTGGACATGTTATCAAGGACTGTCGCTTACCAAAGAAGAGGGACTTCAACTATTACAAGCAAAAGATGCTGTGGAACAAGCAGAAGATGTTCATGGCCAAGCAAGATGATGATAGTGCTGCAACTCCTACTGAGAATGATCCATGGCAGGAGGAGAGTTCCGATGATGAAGAAGAAGAGAATCTGGCCCTGATGGCGTTTGTAGAAGAAGAAGAAAAAGAAAAGGGTGATGCTGCGATCCCCGGAAAAAGTCAAAGTTCAAGTTCAAACACCACTGTAAGTACTTCTGAATCTTCCTGCTCATGCATATGCAAAGTTCATTCCTCGTGTGAAAAGGATAACACCATAAAAAAGCAAAAGAGCAGGTTAGATCATTACTACAAAGTAGTACTTGATACTCTAGACAAAAGTCACTCCCTGAAGTTACAACTAGAAAATGAGAAAGAAAGAGTTCAGAAACAAAATTTAGAAGCAGAAAAGCTTACACAGAAAATTGCTGAACTAACTAAGAAGGTCAGTGACACAGAACTCGAACGAAATGTTGCAAAAGCAGAAAATGATTTTCTACGCAAACAAAGATGTGCTCTTTACACAAAAATCAAAGAATTAGAAGACCTGCTGGTCAAAAGAGGACAAACTGAACAAACAATCTTCTTAAACCAAAACAGGGACACTCGGTTTTATAACTCAAAGGAAGGTCTTGGATTTACTAACCCCAACAATCTGAAAAAGATTGATTGTCTCCAACTTTACAACATAAAGTACATGGGGTTAGGATTGACCAAGTTGATGGCTTTTACCTACGGAAAGGAAACCGCAGAAGAAGAAGAGGTAAAGCGGTCAAATCCTTCAAAAGCCGAAATTCCTTTCAGTTATGATTCCCTGAACGAAAGCTATGAAAACGCTGAACCTGCTTTGTCAACTGACGAGAGTGTGAATCTCTATCCTTCTGAGAAGGAAGTTGTGTCAGAACCTGAAACCCCTTCAACCTCAGGTTCAAATGGAGAAGAACCCTACATCCCTCCATTAATCAGGAAATTTGAAAACTTACACATCTCTTTAGAAAATCAAAGAAAAAGTTTTGAAGAAGAGAGAAAAGAATTCGAAAGTGAGAGGGAGAGGTTGTTGAGAGAACTGACCATTTTAAAAGAAAGTTCCCAATCTGGCACAACTTCTCAATCATCTAGCGATACTGATACATCTCAACCAATTCTGAACAAAACTAACCTTTTCAAAAGGACACCCACTCACTCCAACTCTCCTTTGAAAACAGGAAATGAAGTAAGTCGGAGAGTGGAAAGGAGAAGAGAGTGGAAGTTAAAGAGAGCTGAGATAGCTGAAGGAAAGAAGAAGATGTTTTCTGAGAATAAAAAGTCGTGTTCGAATGCTGTTTTCTATTCAAATAAGCGTAGATCTAGTTCTATGTCACAGTCATGTAGTTCCAGTTCAGTCTTGTGTCCCAAGCTGAATCATTCTAAATTTAAATCTGATACTTTCATTCTCAATGAAAAGTTGTTTACTTCTGGGTTTGTGAATCATTGCAATGATACTTTTGGTTCTGATCATGATGTAAATGCTGTACGTGAGAAAGAAAAAGGAGAGCGCAAACAAAGAAAACAGTCTGAGAATAGAACTGTAGAGGGTACCTATAATCTTCCAAATTTAAGATATCCTCTTAGAGTTCATTCGAAGAAACATTTACAACGTCTCTCTAAAGAAGAAATTTTCAAACCTTATCTCACGAACCAGCCATTTACACATGGTAACAATGACTCTGTCTTCTTTGCTCCTAAAATCAAACAAAAATGGATACCAAAGGCTGAACTTGAAAAACAAAGAACATCATCTGAAAAGGCTGTTGACCTTGGATCACAGCTGAAAGAAAAATTCAAAAAGATTTTCTCAATTGATAAGGAAGGACCCATCCTGCGGTGGGTACCTAAAAATCCTTAATCTGTTTTGCAGAACGGTCATGTGTGGCATTTAGATTCTGGCTGCTCAACCCACATGACCGGAATAAAGGACCTGTTGAGCAACTACACCAAATGCTACGGAGGAAATGTGAGATTTGGAAACAACGCGGCCTCTCCAATCCTAGGATATGGGGATGTCATCTGTGCAAGTGTCACCATCAAGGCTGTGTCATATGTGAAAGGACTAAAGCACAATCTGCTAAGTATTGGACAGTTCTGCGATAGTGGCATGGAAGTGAAGTTCATAGCCAGACAATGCTGTGTGCTGGACAGGTTTGGAAAGGTATTATTGACTTGCACAAGAACTTCCAACCTGTACACCATTGATCTGAAGAGCGTACAATTACCTTCTGCCATCTGCCTGCTGTCCAAAGCTTCCTCTGAACAAAACAGTCTATGGCACAGACGCCTGTCTCACCTCAACTTCAAATATCTCACTACTTTGTCCTCCAAGAAACTTGTGAAAGGGCTGCCTCCTCTGAAGACTTCCGCTGACACTCATTGTGATGCCTGCAGACTAGGCAAGATGAAAAGGAGCTCTCACAAGTTAAAACCTGTTCCATCCTCCTCCCGACTGCTGCAACTACTTCACATGGATCTGTGTGGACCAATGAGAGTCCAAAGCATCAATGGACGTAAATATACACTGGTCATTGTGGATGACTTCTCTCGGTACACATGGACCAAATTTCTGAGGACAAAGGATGAAACAGCTGCAACCATCATAACCTTCATCAGGACAATCCAAAATTTTCTACAAAAGAGTGTGGAGATCATCAGAACAGATAATGGTACCGAG